AAACATCTGAAGCAGAAATTGATGATGAGGTCATGCATGCTCACTGCAAGTACATCTGGAAATAAGACAAGCCAACAGTCTGAACCATTTCCTTTGAACTTGACAAGCACAGAATGCTTCAAGGAACACAAACCATGATATGCTTTTATGCAAGTTCCAACCTTTCAATTGCACACAACAACAACTGTAAAATAACCTGCAGAGCCAGAGCATCACCTGATCTGAAATATTGCTATCCAGTTAAGGACTGCATCAGACCTTCTCCTAAGATGGATCTGCAAAGGGCCTATAGTCTTTGTATTCCCAGGGCTCTTTCTTGGCTGGGATCAAAGCCAGGTTTACAAATACAGGTGGGGAGCAGTTATCATTCTGCAGCTCCTGAAAAAGAGCTCCTCTCCCCAGCCTCTATCCCAAATAGCAACATTTTTATGATCCCTGAATGGTGTCAATGAACAATATCCTTTGAAGTTTGCCTACAGGCTCAGTGAGATTAGCTCAGGGGCACAGAAAGATTGCTGCCACTAGTTCTCTCATTTTATTAAGAAGTGAGGTGAAAACCTCTCCCTCTACACCTCTTCCCTGCTTTGGCCCTGGAAGATGTGTGGTTTGCTTCCCAGTCTGCAGGAAATGTTTTTAGAAGACCTGCAGCATGAAAAATGCTAAGATGTGGGAAATAATAAGTATCTCTAGATATAGTTTATGTCAGTTCCAGTGAATTGGTTCCTATATGGATACCAAAACCTGAGGTCATGCCAAGTTACTTGCACAAGGACTGCCTGAATCACTGATAGCAGCAGGACTAATGCAGGTCCTGTTTCCTTTATTTCCTCTCACAGGTTAGACTTTCAACCAGGCCCTTCAGAGCAGCAAGAGACACAAGAACTGTCTGGTATTTACATTAAAAAAATTAAAAATATTTTAGATTTTTAAAAATGTTTTATGATAAGCATGAAGAGTGTAAGAATCACACTTCAGCAATTAAAATAAAATGCTCCATGGTCACTATCTATCAGCATTACATATAGCTAAAGGAAAGTGTAATCCATTAGTAATTCAGTAATTATGGAATAGGGCATTAAACATCAGTTTTCTATTTGAAAACAAGGTCAAAATGAAAAGAAAAAAATACACTAATTGTTAGCATGCATCATCTTAATTTTCATTTTATTTTCAGGCCAGCTGCAAGAAAGCTCAAGGATCAGGTCAGTTAGTTGAAATAGTACTTAATCAACCTCAAATATCAGTTGAAAAAGAAAATTATGATACAAAGAATATATAAAATTTATCTAGGATTAAAAAAGCACCAGCTTTCACTGTTTACATTTGAAGACAGGAGCAATTGTATTTAAATTATTTTTCCACATATAATAATTTTTACTAAGAATATGAAGGAATAAAACTCTGGAAGGGCAGTGAGCCTCAAAATATCCATTGATAATTAACATAGGTAAAGGAATAAAGAGGTAAGAGAAATCTAAAAAAAAGATGACACCAAGTTCCCCAGTTCACAAGACTGCACAAAAATCTTCAAAACCTCTCAGTTTACCTATATTTTAAGGGCTACTTTGCCTCTAAGTATTAGTAGAGAAAAATTCTTAAAGCAAGCTCAAATATATTCTTAAAAGTTGCTGAACAGGCATAAACAAATATTTGAAAGCTTAGCTTTCTCCAAGAGATGTGATTCTTCCATTTATACAAAAACAAGTTGATATAAACAGAACCATGACAATTTATATTAGCTGTAGAATTTTCTCTTACTTATCTCAGTTACTTCCAGACCATTTTGTACAAATAACTCTGTAAACATGCTGTTAATCCAGCATCCTCACATGAAAGAAGTAACAGTGTTATTTCTAACTGGAAACGTCAAGACCAAGAAAATCTCAGAAATGAGTGGAATATTTATACAAGTTATTCCAAGTGAACATCACAAAAACTATTTTGGAATGCCACATGGGATTTTTCACAGAAAAGTGCTGGAAGATGTGGGATTTTTTTCTTGCAGTCAACAAGTCAAATCCAATAGGATAGCTTCTAAAAAAACATTTTAATAAAGGTTGTATTGATCTGTCACAAGCAAGAATTTTAATTAACACCCTAGCAATCAGCAATTAAGTCTGTACATCTGATAGCTTTACAACATAGACTGGAGAACTGCATCAGACTAAAAACATTTATTTACATGGCAATTGCTATGGATAAGAGCTCAGGTTTCTGATTTTGTGTTTTTTTGGTTTTTTTTTTTTTTTTTTTCAGAAAAACCAATAATCTTGTACAAAATCTAGGAAATGCAAAGGTGCTCCTGCCCTGGAAGATTTAACTGTTTCCTCTAATCATATCCAGTAGATGAATGCTGTGCCCATATTAGAAGTTAAATTAACAGCATCCCCCAAGAGAGACAGCAGAGGCTGTAAGATCATCTATCCCAGGGAATGTGTGAGGATGGTGAAAAGGAAAGCAGAAAGGGTGGAAGTTCTCTCTCTCATGATCACGGAAATAATGGCAGCCGCAGGCGCATGTACCTTCTCCATAGCTGAACTGGGCCCATGCCTCTTTGCAAAGAAAACTCCTCTGGTTACTAGAATGGCTGGGATTTTTTCCTGTACTAAATATAATATCTCAAGCCTTTAAAATCATGGCTGTTACAGAGATGATGAACAGAATGTAAGGTTTGTAACATCTCCCATGCAGTTCAGCATGAAATATTGCATCCAAGTTTCTTGTCTTCATCTAAAAGTGACATTTCATTACCTAAAGTGATCATAATTCTAGATACCACAAAGCCCTTGAGTTTCAAAACTCTTATAGCATGCCTGCATCCGTGTTGGTCCTGAGGTGGAGCAGGCACAGGCAAGCATGGCTGGAAAACCAGCACCCTCTGGCCATCCCCATTCAGGGGCACTGGTACAGCCCGTGCAGAGCCTGCAGCGCCTGCCTGAAGCAGGAGGGATGTTACCTGCAGAGTTCACTGAGAGTACGGCTTCCCCCTGGCCAGGAGAGGGTCTGGGGGGCAACAGGGGCTGTGCAGGGCAGGCACTTGCCCCTGCTACTGTCACCTGCTTGCCCAAGGCAGGCTGTCCTGCTGCTGCCTTTGCACCTCCTAGGGAGCAGGACTGAGGCATTAGTAATTTATTATACATAAACTAGTGAAGAGTATGCACCTCACTGCCACATTAAAGCCCACCTGTAAATCTGAGGAGCCTAAGGATATTGTGTTTTGGTTTTTCCAGTTCTTTGTCCATCAGCAACTTTCTGGCATGGACTATATTCCTGGAATATTTAAGAAGGGAATCCTTAAGACTGTAATCTTTAAGAAATTAAACAGAACCAAGTAAAGAAATAAATGTCCTGTTTAATTCAAGTTATTTCAAAAACACAGTGAATATATTACTTTTCTTTGTCTGAGTCAAGAGAATAATGGCTAGGTAAGTAACAGTCAAGTGTCTGTCAAGGAGAAATTGTGCCTGACCTGGGTACTGGACAGAAAAAAATATCAGCTTTCAGTTCAATATCAGGTATTAGACTAAAAAACATCATGTACCTTGACTTTTCTACCTGATGTTATGTAAAAGCTCTGAGAACACAGTCTAAACAAAAGCAGGAAAATTGTACTCAAATGTTAATCAATTGTTCCCTGAAAAGTAAAAAGAAGTATTAGATACCAAAATGTAAGTAAAGGCCAGTATCGTGCAGCATTTTCATTAATTATTTATAGCAATTAGAGAATACATTTATTAAATTTGCAGATGACATCTGGCTGAAAAATGCTGCCACCTTGTTGGAGGACAAGTTTAACAAAGAGGCCATAATTACAGAAATGCCTTAGATGGGGAAAAAACTGTCAGACACCAAGTTCTGACACCTAGGTAGAAATAAACAATACAAGATGGGAAAAAGCAGGTTGAGTAACAGTTCTAAATTCAAATCTGGTGCAGAGCAGACAAAGAAAGGTGGAAAGGAGAAAGGAGAAATTATGATTGCAATCTAAACATGTTAACAAAATCAAGCCATGATGGCAAAAAGTTGTGATGTGTAACTATGAACAGAGCTTGCAAATGGGATGGGAAAAACACCCATAGTGTTACTACTGCTCTTCTTGGTTTTTGGCTACAAGACTGTAGCCTGACTGCCATGTTTTGGTATTCTACACACACCCAGTCCACTTAGGGAGAGATCAACATGGAGAAGGTTCCAGGGGAACCTCACTGCAGCCTTCCAGAAGCTGAAGGCAGTGTATAAAAAGGAGGGAGAGGGACTTTTTGTACAGGCAGACAGTGACAAGACAAGGGGCAATGGTTTTACACTGAAAGAGGTTAGGTTTAGATTAGATGTTAGCACAAAATTCTTTACTCAGATGGTGGTGAAAGACTGGAATAGGCTGTCCAGAGAAGCTGCTGATGCCTCGTCTCTGGAAGTGTTCACGGTCTGGTTGGATGGGGCCCTCAGAAACCTGGTCTACTGAATTGCATCCCTGTCCTTGGCAGAGGGGTTGGACCTAGATGCTTTTGAAGTCCCTTCCAGCCAACCCATACTATTATCAGGAAAGACACAGAGAAATTGCAAGCAAATTACAAGAAAGAGAAGACTGAAGGAGCTGGGGTTGTCTAATGTACTGAAGAAAAGGCTAAGGGGAGATTCAGATAACATGCTCTGCATATATAAATGTTAGATACCACAAGTAAGAAAATAAACAGTTGTCCCTGTTAGTGGTGGTTATGGAAAATGTGAAACAAAAGTAATTTATTTTGTGGCACCCTTTTTACTCAATTTCCTTCACAAATCTGAAGTGGCTGGAAGATAACATTTTCATGTAAACTAATGAATTTAAAGAATAATGCTTCTAAATAAAAGCTTTATTATCTTCATGTGTATCAGTTTCATAAGGAATATTTCGAGATGTATCTTATATTTAAGTCAGTAAGACAAAATGCTTTAATAAAACAAATCAGCTTGCAAATACATACAGTATTATAAACTAAAATTAAAATCACTGTCCACTATCACAACAATTTATCCACAATTTATGACGACATGAAGTTTAGCACCTGAATGAAAAAAACAAATAATTAGTAACAATAAAATCATTTAGCTTTGATTAATAAAGTCCTTTGATTTTCTTACTATTCCAAGAAAAATAGGAACAAATATTTCCAGATTTTCTTTCATGCCAAATGTTTTCAATTTCCACATGGCTGAAGTAAGTTAATGTAAATGCTGGACATACATTTTGAAAATTATTAGGTATTGTGATCTACCAACATGGTCTTTCTACTTATGTTAAACGCTAGCACCATCTACTGGTCCAGAAGGTCCTTTCAAACTTTAGAAAAAGCTGTGGAAAGTGATCCAGCCAAAATGATGCAAAATGATACTGACAGTAACACGTAGTTTTTCAGTCCCTGTACAGGCAAAAGAAGAGAAAAAGGAAAATATTGTCTTCTCATTACTGATACCACTTTTAAAAAAAGGTAGAACAATGTACTAAATTTCATTTAGGCAGACATTATATGAAAAGAATGAAAGGCTTAGAGAGTTACAAAGATTTGGGTAATGAACATTATGATCTTCCACCGTGGTGTAAAACTAATCTGCAGTGGGAGACACAGAACTTTTAGTTCTAGATCCAAGTTAGGCACCTATGGATACTGGATAGATTGGCAAAAAGAACCTGGTATTACACTGCTAGCATTCAGTACTTTAGATTCTACTAGAAAACCAACTTCTACCCTCTATGTTAAAATCCAGCAAATTAGCTTGTTTTAGACAACCACTGCTGTATCAGTTTAGGATCTTTACATTACACTGTAATTACAAAGGTCATTACAATACTAATCTTTGTAATAATAATAATAATTACAATGTAATAATAATTGTAATTACAATACATGTTGCATTTTTGCATCCTTTGTTGAACCTGACCCTAAAAATGTAATCTACTTGCTGATGCGTTATTGGGACAACTGCTCATTCCCCTGCTCCACTAAAAGAACTGGCTCAAATGAAAACTGTCTTCAGGCAGTGCCTGGCATCCTGCCTCCTGGCTGTGCTACAGTCCTCATTTACATCCACTGCTCCTCATACAGCTATGGAACTAAAATCTTCATTCCTGTAAAAATTATTCACAGTTCTTCAGGTTTCTTGGAAAGCTTCATATGGCATGGTATCACTTTCAGTTTCATAATGCAATACTTGTAAGGAAGAGGAATCTGAGATACAGCTGTACACCAAGTCAGGCTGTTTCTAGAGATAGAGGCAAGCAAGAGATACTAGGTGAGAGGCCTAATTACATTACCTTGATTTCCTTAAATACAAGGACTCCCCACATTGCAGCAACAAGGCCAGGACCCTAAAGAATAAGGTTAATTTATACATTACACAATTTCATTAAAATTTACTCTGTCACATTACTGCTCTCAGGGTGGTTGACTTTTGTCTGGATAACACATTTAAGTCTTTCCATGTGTATAATTAAAGCACTCATGACAAAAGCATAAGCATCACTGAAATATTTACTAAGTAAGATACAATAAAATCTTCAGGAAGGGTTAAAGATTCAAGAAACTGTTGGTTTTTTTTTTTTTTTTTTTTTTTTTTTTTTTTTTTTTTTTTTTTTTTTTTTTTTTTTTTTTTTTTCCTAGGAGGCACAACTTCTTTCTAAATTACACTGAGGAGTCTGCTCCAGTTGTTACATGTTCTTTCAGAAGACTCCAAATAACAAGCCTCACTTCAGTCCAAATTAGAGTCCACAATGTTTCCTAATGTTTCCTTTATTAGCATGACTAACTACTGGACAAAGTTTGATTTTATCACTCAGTATGATATCAAGAGACTGAAACATAGATGTATTTCTTGTATAGCTGGCATCTGGACAAAGCACAAATCCAGCCAGGGAGACAGGTCAGGGAAACTCCTAATTTTCCATGATATTGTTGTAGAGGTTTCCTGGCTAACAGCAAAAAGTGATACACAACAGCAACTTCCAGGCACTCTTGGTAATCGAGTTTTTCCCCTGAGGGAGAAATGATCTGAATTTTCATCTCTGATGAGAAAATATCTGAACATGAAGCAAAAAACCTAGCTCTGTTAATGCTTTGCATTAGAGCTGTTCTGGGAAACACTTGACAGATGTTTGGCCAGTGACCTTCCTCTCTTCATCCTCAATGCAGCGGATGGGACACAGATATAAACAGCAAACAGTGTCTCATGCTGAATATATGTGTGGGTGCTGTTTCCTACTGACTTTACCAACTATTATTTGAGTAATTATAATGTGCACTGTGAGAGGAATGCACTTTAAAAAAATGGAATGAAGTGTTAAAGGGATGTGATGAATACCTCTCAAAACATTTTCTCCAGGATGAAATAAAGCAGCAGTTCAAAACCTGTGGTCCAGATAGGCAGTTTCTCATAAGTGCTTCCTTATATTTTTCATTTTGTGATTTTACATCCTTGCCCTTTAGGCATACTGATAACTAAATTACTAAAGCTGCTTTCCATTAATCCTTCAATTTCTAATTAGAATGATCCCAAGTTTTTTTTTTTTTTCATTGCATACTGCAGAGTATATTTTGACTTACTGCATCTTGCGGCGAAGCTTAATCCCTATTAAAGCTGTTTCATTAGTTTGCTTCCAAAATGCAGCTGTTAAGCAAAATTTTGATTTTAATATTTATTAACTCTCATTTGCCACCTTTGTGTTACCAACTAGTGCAGTGTCTAGAGAGTAAATGCAAAGTTTACATTTACCTAGTAATTGGAATTTATGCTTTAAAGGTATATCATAAACAGGAATAAAACAGACACAGAACAGGCCAACCTATTTTCCACACATTTGTATAAGAATATTATTTTCAGTAGTACATAATCTGTTCTGTTTGTTCAAGAACTGTAAAAAGAAAAAATGCCTGACTTAAGCAAGCAAATCAACTACTAGGGGATAAAATTCATAAATTCAAAAACATCCAGACCAAAATGTACTTCCTGGGATGAAAGCATAAAGAATTCTTCTTATAATCACTTCAATTAAATAGTTAATATTGATATTAACTTGTAATTCTGCTTACAAAGCTTTGGCTTTTACATAACCTGAAGAATCACACTCTCAATTCGTCTGGTTTTTCTTATGCTTGACATTGACCAAGATGGTGCTTGTCACAGTCATTCCTAAAAATCCAGACTAGTGCAGACAAGCAGAGGAAGCACTGTATACTTTTGACTAACAATGCTCTAGACCCATCATAATTTCAAGTCAGTTCTAAAGACAGAAAGGTAAAAAACCCATTCACTTTTAATTCTAGTTGGAGATTCTATTTTTTATATACTTACTGCAGTAATTATTGGAAAGCTCACGACAGCACTGAGATAGTGATTGGCCAGGAACCAGCAGCAATTGGCTATTGCCCAAAGCACACCAGAAACAAACCCTAGAAAAATAAATCCCAATCAAAAACATGCATAGCAAGGTACAGGCAACAGTTTGTGGAAGTTTTATATTTATAGCATAATACAGCAATTGCATATAAGTATTTTAGTATGTTAACTACTTCAACAAGCTGGCTCTGGCAAACTAAACCAAAGCTTGAAAGATAAAAATCAGCTACTCCAACTGAAGTAGCAAATTAATTAAATTTATTATTTTCTGGGCAATGTGCTCTCCACTCCTGGCCATCAGTTTTTGAAAATCTTCAAAGTCACTTTGTTCTCGTTCCAGATTAGAACAAAAGTTAACACTGTCTCCTAACCTTAATTAACCTAATAGTGCTCTTTCAAAAGAGACAGTAAGTCAAATGAAGGTGAAACCACAACTGAAAGGTGAACCACAATTCCAACACACAACTTGAACTAATCACTGCAAAATGGTCCAAAAAAGTAACCAAAATGAAATGCTGATTTCAAAAACAGTCATACCTGGCAATATGGCTTGGGGATAAACACAAGGTTTATTTTTCCTGACTGCACAATAGATCAAAAAGTAGATGGTACTTGTAAGAAATATTCCACTGAAGTGTGCAAAAACATAATCTAAATCTGAAAGAGAAATTACAAAATGTTAGTAAAAACACCAGTTATTAATTTAAACAAAATTATATTCAGTGATAACATTCATATAGACAAAAATGCATAAAGGTGCTACTCCTAAGAATTCAAATTCAAATCTCATTGTGCTGAACACAGCTGCCAGTCTGTGGATGCATATAATCAGGGACCTATTAAACATGAACTAAATGTTGTGTTGACTTATTGCAGGTTTCTAAACATTTCTATGAGGTGCTGTTTTCAGAACTCTATTACAAATTCCTGAATTAACTAAATAAAACCTTGAGAAAATCCTCAGATGAGGCTACAAAACTGGGGTGAAGATTTTACATAATTGTAGATGGTCAAGAGAACTTGTAATTATGTTCCTCTATTCCTGTATCCCTGTTTTGTTCTTTACATTTAAGGGCAAGACAACTGCACAGACTATGTAAGCTAAATATAGCTCAATTTTGTCCTTTTTTAATCTTGAAGGATGTATCACAACTTTGATCACTAGAATTATGAAGAATAACAAATCCTTTAAGAATTTTGTATGTGCTAAGAGCGTTTCCAACATGGTAAAGCAGAAGCATGTAGCAAGGTGATCCTTGTCTCCTAGGAGCTATAAATTCTCAACAGGAAAGGCAGCTATGGTAATGACAACATCTGTTTTGCCTGGCTGGGGAATATATACATTGCAGTATTCAAGAGAAATTGTATATGTCAATGGTGACATTATGTGTTCTCAGCAGCATTTGCTCTTAAGGTGCTTCATGCATTACCTGATACAGTATAACCTGAACCTTAAGGAAAATGTTTCTGGGAGAATGTTATTTGAAAATGGCAATTAGGCTTATGTTAAATGGTTTCAATTTGAAAAACAACATGGTTTTAATTACTTATGTTATTACATATATGCTTTCCTCATCTGTTATGATCAATCTTCTCTTCCTTTATTGCTGTTGGCAATTGGCAAGCTTGTGTCCTAGTTTAACTCATTCTCCACTCTGTATACAAACTCTGTATTTTGAGAATGCTAGTATTTAATGCCTTCAGAAACATACCTGTGAGTTAAGTATGGTAGTCTTTGGGCTGTTTCTCAGTGATTTTTATGGTGTAATTCACCTCTGAGAAAAAGGGAGTGCTAGGGCTATGATTATGACAACATCTAAAGTAGTGCATGATAAAGTGATAAACTGTCATGGTATATTTTCAAGCATATCAAGAACTTCACCCTATGCCTTCAAAAAAGCAGGAGAACACAATGATGAAATGAAGTAGAAGTGATCTATTAGCCTTTACCAAACTGACTTGCTCCTGTGTATACAGTTTCATTTCTTCTTCCATGGTCCTTGATGTAAAGTACTGGTACAAAACTGGAACCGTAGAGTATTCCAGCCACTACAGCCAGGCTACAGCCTCTTCAAAAGAACAAAAATAAGAGAAAATAGCCTTGCATGAGTTAAGGAAGTAGAGAACACATGTAAGCCCAGTACTGCAGGTAAAAAACTGTGCATCATATAAAAATTGCTAGCCATAAAAATAAAACATTTTACCACATTTTTATTTTCTGGCAGAGAAATGGTTCATGTAGTTTCCCTCTACTTTGTAGCCAAACAACACAGACAATGCCTGCTGCAAAAGCCAGTAATCTAGATTAATGTCATGGGAAATTAAATAACTAGGATTTCCTAAAAGCAGACCTAGGAGACAACGAACAAAAATTCAGTTTAAAATGCTTCCACCCTCACCTTTGTTGTTGCCATCTATATATTCCTTATAACTTCCCAGGTTCATTGACTCTTCAGTCTGCTTCTCCATGTCCAGATTGCTGTGTTCTTGGCAGTCTCCACTCCCCACACTGGCTTCTTGTTAGCTTGCTTCTACTTTGAAGCACTTTTACTGTCTCCTTACCATACTGCCATGCCTTCTCTAGCTGTATTCACTTGGAAACCACACCTGGAAGCATGTTATTAGCACAGGCTTCTTCTATGCTAGAGTGGTAATCAACTAGGTGTTAAAACCCAACTCTGTAATTACTGAGTTGATATTTTTATTTCCTTTGCCAAATGATATTTTTCACAGTAGTACCTAATACTTGATCGGTAAGGTTAGACACGCTCAACAATGTCAACAGAATAATCATATAGCTGTGCAACTATTCATATATAGATTTGCACACTATGCTGGTATGTAAAAACCTGTTATTTATTGTATGACTTTGCTAGGAAACCACAAATTCTGCTCTTACACTGTGTTTAACTACTTTCTCTGGCTACTTTCTATGCATCAGCAAAAGAACTGTCAGCAACTTACATGAGTCTCCTTTTTGTTGGAGAAAGTTTGTCCACCCATGAGTCCTCAGTGGTATCTTCAGAAACATTAATAGACTGCAAAAAAACCAAGAATTTTCATGAAAATTTAGTTTAGTTTGTTTTCTTAAAATGTGCAATTTCTTAAAGCATCTTCTGTGATTCACTCTGGTAGACTGGAACCCCTAGTGAGCACTGAGCGCAGCTAGGAAACTCTCAGGGCTCCCTGTCCAGGTAGCCACTGAGCACTGACCTCCAGCAGTAAGGTACAATGGTAGGAGGAGCCTCTGATTCTCCAGCTCTCCTTGCATACTGTGGGCTCCCTAAGGAGCAACAGCCAATCTGGTACCCCCTCACTGGCCTCCAGCCTGTGCCACAGCTGATGATGACAGTCAGCAACTCTTGGCAGCCTCCTGGCTCTACAAGGTGACAAAAACCTGGCCTTTCACCTAAGCACCCTCAGAACTTTACAGCTAATGTTTTATTGAAATTGCTTCCTCTTTTCATATAAGAAAGTAATACACTCTTCTATATGATCTCCATCATAATGAAGAAGGACTTTCTAAGCCATCTAAAGCTGACAAACAAGAAAGAACACTTGGGAATACCTTTTCTGTTGCTAATATCCAAAATGATATCCAAGATCCACAGATTAAGATACAGTACATATTTGTGTTGTTCTATGTAGTCTACCATAAATCCTAGCAAACCTGATTAACAAACACATTTTTTGTTTTAAGATGGATATGTATTTTCACTGCTGTAAAATAACAACTGTAGAGTACTTACACTTTCTCTCAGTAAAGGTGTGCTTTCTAATGAAGTTGAAGAACTCTGGACTTCAGTTTTTATAAAAAGAAATATGACAGCACTCAGAAGAGAAAAATACACCAATAAATACCATGTCAGTTATAAGGACATAACATTTAGCGTCCAGAGACAAAAGTTTTACTTGGAGGCATATTCCCTTGTTTTCATTATTACCCTAGAGTCACTGGAGTATATTTAAAAATGCAATTGCTTTAAAGTCATAACTTACTATGGTTATATATACATAAAAGATATAAATGTAATAATTTTAAGTTATTAATTTAATTTAGCTAAAAGATAACCTAAGTGAAAGTAAGTAAATAAATCAGTTTTGTATCACTTTATAGATCTTTCTTCTTATGTAATGTGATTGAAACATCATCTTTTAACAGTGTGTAGTCACAATCACATTAACAACAGATGCTTTAGCTAACAGTGCCCTTTTGTACGAAACCACACACAAATGGAACACATGCTTGAAAATTCTACATGGAACAGCTTAAAACCTGCATGGAATTGCCTCTATATTAATGAAAAAATACTAATTTTTAGTCTTCCATCATATGTGAGGAATGGGATACTGCTGCTACAGGGCCTTGTGAGCATACAGAAGGAAAAGGGATATTGCTCAGTGCTGCTCAGTGCATTAAGTTAATAAAATGGAGAAGAAAGAGTAATATTACTACTCTTAACCCTGCCTCCAGGAGACCAGGTAAATACATGCAATCAGAACTGGAAGGATCTGTTTTTTACTTTTATGAAAAACATTTTCATCTAGGAATTTCTTCTCCTAGCTGTAAACAGAATATTTCCATTTGAAGAAGGATTAATTTCTTACTGATGGAATAAGTACAGTTATACAAGGATGTCAGTTTCCTCCAGAGGAAACACAGATTTCACACAGGAAGCTAAAATGAAAAGCCTGCTTCTGAGCTCCACAGAGCAACATGCACAGGCTTCGTGCAGTTTGCAGGGAAACATGTTTGCTCACGATCTCTCTCCCTGTTGGTCACTCCTCCATGATATCTCAGAAACAGGAAGCAGGTGGTGAGCTGCATGAATCCATCAGTAGCAGTACTGCTACTATTTTCTCAGTACCTCCCAAAATCATGTGGCACATTTAACAGGAATGGACATAAAGCTGCAGACTCTTAGCAAAGAAGAAAAGTGGAAGCCAAAATCATGAATCTAAGGCAGAAGTTCTGTCCTACCAGTCAGAAATGGCTTATCTCCATGTTTTTAATACCCTCCTTTTCTGAAAGGCACTCTGTTCATTTTCTGTCAGCATGCTTTTAAGTAAGCCTTTAGGATTTAGGGTCATCTTTCCAGCCACCCAGCTGGAAAGCAAGAATACTGCTACATAACAAAGATCCTCTTTCCTCTGTGCTTGGACCAAAATGTATGCATTCATACAAAGAGCAAACACACAGAAAGAAAGAATAAAGTCCTTCCAAAGATCCTGAAGGAAGACACTGCGTGGGATTTGGAAGTGTGGCTTAAGACTTACGTGACACAAAGCTATTACAGATAGCAAAACATGTAAAACCTCTGGTCTTTCATGGACCCCAAAGTACCAGGGAAGGGGTTCTGTGGCATATTCTATTGTTACGAGATTAAGATTTGTACCCCTGACTGAGTGAAGTGAGATCAGAAATCTGACATTTTCTTAACAAGATTCTTTTAATCAGTCTACCCTCTGATAGGATTTGGGGAAGTCAACCATTAGAATAACCTAGCTAGGGAGGCAATTCATGCACCTCTGCTTTGCCTTGAACATGCCTACCAGCATAAACATATATTTTTGTGTTTATGGATAACCGTTTCACTCCTGTACTGGAAAACATGTCTGTTTCTACATGAGCACTGACCAACTAGGTATGGATAGCTCATGAATTTGGAAGTATATTGATTTGCCAAAGATTATTCAAAATATTTGTTCTCTTGTTAAATCATCCTGGTGATTGGTTATTAAATATGTAGTTTACATAACAGATATTCATTATAAGAATCAATTTCTACCTTATAAGTGAAAGTCCAGCTCCAATATAATTTAAGATTGGTCTTGATACCTCTTCCGGGTCAATTCCAAACCAACCAAACCTGGAACATTTAACCAGTTTCACTCAGACACACTGACTTTATATAAATAGTTAAATTATAACCTAGTCTTTGAAGTTTTGACTCATGTAAATAAATCTGCCTAAGTATATATTTTCAGTGTTAGATCAGTGCTTCAGTTGGCTTGCAAAAAACCATGTCTACTTTACAAAAACAGCCTTTAATTTAACATGCATTTTTAAAATATCTATATTTAAAAATTGTAGTTATTTTATCAGACCAGATTGCAGAAGAAAAAAATACAAATATGTACTAGTTTTACATTAAGAAATACATTATTTATTGACTCAATAACATCACTGGGCATTCTTCTTTCTACTGAAATAGAGGAAATACAAAAAGCTAAAACAGTAAACTTGAGAACTTTCCACTAAGAAGGAAAAAGTTCTAATACCTAAAGAGGATAGTTTTAATACATAAAAAGGATAGTGGTAGACTTGGCAGTGTTACATTAATGGCTGGAGTTGATGATCTTAAAGGTCTTTTCCAACCTGAATGATTCTACAGGTGAGTTTTCACTTATTAATGAAGACTTGGCAACATTAATTATGTTATTAATTAATCAATCACTTAAGATTTAAAACATACTTACCTTGAACTTGCCCAGCCTGTCAGCAAATTAAAAGAAGCCCATATCAAAAGACCAAGAGCTAAGCCAATAGTTTTAACAATAGGGACAACTGTAACGTTGCCTGAAATACAAAAACCAAAACTGCAATCAGTTAAAAAATAGAATGTGATCTTGTATATGTTTGCTTTCGGTTCTGTACCTCGTTGGAAGGCAAAGAAATTTAGGAAGCTACAAGGTAGTAAGAATGTTTTTTAAAAATAGATACATTGAACATAGACTTTTCCTCCATATAGTTTTAAACATTATTTTTGGTGTCAATTTGCCTCTTAGAAAGCAAGCATAATAAAACAGAATTTACTATAAGTTCCATTAACAGTGATGCTTAAAGAACTGAATAACTATTAAATAACTACTATCTTATATGTGGAAAAGTTTCAAGTATCGGAATCTTTTTATCCTCACCTGTAGCCCACACAAAACCTCCAACCATAGCCAGAGGCCAAAACCGGGGGCAATTCTGGATCAAATTGACCACCAAAGAAACTATCCATATGGAGGCACAGAGAATCCACTGGAAGAACATGCCTGTGGAAAAATCAAATGCACACAATAGGGAATTTGTGGAATACTGCATGTGTGAATCACGTAACAGTTTATGTTTATCTTTGATGCACTAGTAGAGAAAAAAAATCAAAAAGATGGCCACTGCCTTTGTGAATATCAGGGAACCTTGTTACAATTTATTCAAAGCATGTATTTTTAGGGTGGGTTATAATTTGGTTAACCTTCTCCTTATCACACATTCTTCCTACAGAGTTGCAAAAGACACTTTGCTGGCAAAAGTTTGCACAAGCCCTAATTCTTAAACACATGAAAAGTTTGACGGACTTCTGACAAAGACGATATTCAGTTGCTGCAAACTTCTCCCACCACTCCAGTAGCTGCTAACATGGAGGACTGCACAGGATGAGACTTTTTCAAAGCTCAAGCTTTTCTGGTAATCCCAGACACTGAGGATGGTCAGTGACAGATCTTTTCTACCTCTGTAGATTCTTGAAGGGTCAGTTAGGCAGACCAGTTAACTTTATGCCCAAGCTTGTCTTGTTAGAGTCATATCTGGCACAAAAAGCAGAGGCTATATTCAGCCTGCAATGCAGGTACCATATTGCAATAACATAATGGCAAATTTACTCATTTACAGATCTGTTAATTGATTATGCTTCATATAAACAGGAAAATTTAACATAAACCTAGTAAAGTGACAATATTACAAGTACGAAATAGGAATGATTGTTTCCTCTTACCAAGTCAGCAAATAAAGTTACTAAAATTTCAGTTTTTGTTTTTATGTCAGATGCACAATTGAAAGGCAATGCTCCAAAGTCCAAAAATTTTTGCCTTATTTGTAAATAACACTTTATGTATCCAGGAATCTCCACAAGGGTAGAAGAAAGAACATTTCACTTTCCATTGTGACATTCTCATTAAATGTACATCATCACTGTCAAAGTGCACAACTTATAAAAAGGCTCTTCTAAAGATATGCCACATTCTGAAGCAGTATTATTGATTTATACCCTAACAACAGCAGACAAAATTAAACATACTTTCTGGATTAATGCTGTGATGATGGCATGTAATAATTTGCTGGTAAAATATTATTCCTTTTAGCAAAAAATAGCAAACCAAAGAAAAGAGTACAATTAAGTTTACCATCACCAGTATCAAATTTCTTGACAGGCACAAAGTTTGTCCCAAATAGAAGGACAGCTACTGTGGAAGAGGTAAAGCCAATAGCTAGATCTGTTCCATTGCTGATGTTAGCAGCACCGTAAGCTTTCCCGATATTCATCTTTGTTCTGAAGGTGTTTCTTTTTGTGGAGTTGTTTTGCTGCAGGTCTGGACAGAATCTGGAATCAAAGAATGGAATTAAATATGTGGACTATTAATTAATACCAACCTAGTTTAGAAATCTGAAACTTAAAGGACCCTACATATTAATCTCTCAAAGCTGAAATGAACTGCAAAGAGGTTAATGAAGAAAAGGTTCATGTAGAACCCCATGAAAACCTGACACAAAACATGAATAAAGTGACTTAAGAACAGATAAACAAAAAACCCCAATATTGTATTTCTATCAGAAGACACAAGAAGTGAATGTAGAGGTGCACTCAAAGGTTATGAGGACTTAAATTTCTGAGGGCTATGGGAAGCATTGATGTTTTAGTGAGATGGTATCAGAATATTCCTTATTCCTGTAGCCAAAGGGTGGGTGGGTGGGTGGAGGGGGTCACACTGGGGTGTGTCAAAAAATGGGGGTAGACAAAATCTTAAATGGCAGAAGCATTTACAGCAGACCCATTGTCAAGAAGTCAGGAACAAGTGCAGAGATTCTATAGGTGCCACAGTGAGATCAGAATGGAATCATAAGGTAACCACAGGGATTGCTGTAGCTGATACTAAATATGAATAAAGGTTCATTTTTCTGTGGGGAGCAAAGGGAGAAGCTGCCTCTATAATTTCCTTGTTCATTCCACATAAGTATATTAAGAAAGGCAAAGATCATTTTACTCGCAGAATACCTCAGACTTTTTCTAAAGTGAGTCATCTTTAGGTTACACTCAACAGATGAGCCACACATGCACTTTTGATATGGAGTATCACTTTGACAGAAGAGGTGTCTCTGAGGACAACCACAACAATATGAACTTTGTGTAACTAACTTTCCAAAACTTGGGACACTTTGTTCCAAATTTGGCTAAATTTCACATCCAACTTTCAACTCCATTTCAAATCCTTCAAGAGAAAGCTTAATGGGACAAGGCCTGAAGCAACCTAACTTCTAATTTCAATGACAGCACTGCTTGAAGCAGAAAATTAACCAATGACCTACAGAGACCCCTTCCAAGCTAAGTAATTCTAATACTGTATGATAAAACATCAAGAGCAAATAATAAATTGCCACACAACATTAACCTGACTATATTTTTTCTACATACTTTCCACATCAGAGAGCTTCTGCGAGTTCACTAAAAGCCTCTTCTCTTCAATCCTATGTTATTGCCAGACGGACTTGCATATGTCCCTCCAAAGACTTAGGAGGTAACAAATGCCAAAACCAGAACAAATGCCGAATGCTGAAGCTGCTATGCTCTTAAAGCATAGCAGTTGTATCTGAAACTCAAGCAAAGGCAACTGCAATTGATACTGTTATTGAAGGCTTTTTTTCCACTAAGTTGCCCTTACTGAAAGGTACTTCAGGATTCTCAGCAGCAGAAAAAGTACAATTTTGCTATTGGATGTTGGAATTTTGTTGGCATACATTGCTCTTTTCCTACTAAGCTCACTGGTTCACCTCCCTGGAGTGTTGTGCTCTGCATTTCCACAATTCCCTCAGAAACATGACACCCACACCAAATCATGATGCTCACTTACTGCAACAGCAACGCATCGCTGTGATCTCTGCAGAGAGGGACAAAACCAAGAGGCCCTGTCCTTGAGAGCTTTCACCTCAACGGTGAACCAAATTATTGCCAAGATTCCAAAGAACCTCTTTGCTAATTAAGTGGGTTTTATTAAAATGTCGCATGTCGTACTGACTGTCTATTTGTACATTTCTTCTATTATCCATTTACCATTAAGGGTGGATACTTTCACCCTTAACTTAGGACGCTCCTGTTCTGAGGTGGCTCAGATTAATGTGCCCAAGTGACACCATAACCCTTGCTCTAGCGACGTATCTTTGCTTCCCTGAGGCGAGCTCTTTTAAAAGACGGGCACTGTTTTCACTAAGTGCTATCACGGAACAAGGAAAACGCTCAGCTCAGAGCTCCACCCGGGCCGCTGTGGCTTCACTGACGCCACCGCGCCGGGGCAGGCCCGGGCTGCGGGCGGGACCGGACCCGGCCCAGCCCTCGGCCCCGGCCGCCGCGGCAGGGCAGCCGGGCCGCTGGGCACCGCAGCCCGAGGGGATACCCGAGACCCCGCCCAGCCAGACGCCTTCCTTCCCCCAGCGCCCCGCGCTAGGCTCAGCGCCGCGGCGAGTTTTACGGCGCTCCGCTCCGGGGCGGAAGGCGGCCGAGACGGGCTCATACCGACAGATCGCCGGTCCCGTCCCTCCGTGCGGCCTCGGCTCCGCCGCTCGCCCGCACCCCTCCGCGCCCACTCCCGCCCGGACCCGCACAGCCCCACCGCCGCTCACCGCGGCCGCCCGCCCGCGCCGGCACCGCCCCGCGCCTCGGCCCGCCTCCATCCGCCTGTTTCCACCCGCTTCTGCCTACTGGTCTCTCTTCCCTATCCGGAAGCGGGGAGGGAGGCGAGCGGGGAACACGTTTCTACTGCTTTTGTCTTGCCGCCATGGTGGCTTCCCTTCTGGCGGGGAAGAATAGCTAAGAGAAAACTTAAATTAATGCACTCATGTCGTGATAAACGCGCCTTTGGTCCTCCCCGCCGTAAGGGTGCGGATGCGACAGTTCCCTGCCTAGTGCAAGTGCAGCTGTGGACTCCACAGGCCGGAGGTGCTGTGACTGTAACTAATAAAGAATCACAGAATCAATCAGGTTGGAAAAGACCTCTGGAGATCATCCAATCCAACCTGTGACCCAAGACCACCGTTCCAGCTAGACCGTGGACTGCGCAAAGTGATACATCCCGTCTTCAGTACCTCTAAGAAGAGTGACTCCACCACCTCCCTGTGTTTATTCCAGTGTTTAGTCACCTGCTGTGTGTTATATCCAGTCACAAAGACCTCCAGGGACGGTGACTCCACCACCTCCCTAGGCACTATATTGCAATATTTTCTGTGAAGAAATTCTTCCTGATGTCCAGCCTGAACCTCCCCCAGCTGAGTTTGAGGCTATGCCCACTTACCCTGTTGCTGGTTTCCTTGGAGAAGAGGCCAACCCCCACCAGGCTACAACATCCATTCAGGTGGTTGTAGAAAGCAGTAAGGTCTCCACTGAGCCTCCTCCAGGCTAAGCACCCCTAGCTCCCTCAGCTGCTCCCTGCAGAACTTGTGTTCCAGAGAAGGCACCAGAGTTTTGGCAGCACTTGCCCAGGAACACAGATGTGGTTCCAGGATGGGGCTGCTCACAGAGGGGACAGCATGGCCTCCTTGCAGCTCCTCTCGCTCCTGAGGTCTCCCTGGCTGCTGGAGGCTGTCACGAGGCTGGGGGCTGCAGGCAGCTGCAAAGGGGGACAAGCATTTTGGGGCATTTTGAGGCCATGCAACAGCTGCTGGCCCTGTGGTGTGCAGCAAGGCAAAGAAACCACCAAGCCTGGTCAGGGCATCCAGGTTTTTATTTTTCTTAAGCACAAAAATTACCAGCTGTTGGTCTGGAAGCCCCTTTGTTGTTTGGCAAACAAAATCAAGTCGGAAAAAAATCTTTTACATGATGTCAAGAAGAGGTCTTTGCAGATTTCCCTGTAAGGATTTGATCTGGACCAGTTAAAGCACAGACTATTAGTCAGCATGTTTAGTCACGAAGCAAACATTTCTCTCTGTACTCTTGAAGTACAGTTTCCAGATGGCAGCCCAAATTGATCTCCTTACAAACACAGCACGAGCCTCCTAAAGTAATGATTCATATTTTGCAAATCAAATTGGCATTATCCATAATAAGGGCTTGCTTTGTTTCTCTGGAGAATAAGTTGTCAGTTGTATGGATTCAGTAAAGCTAGGAATGCACCATTTATCAATAATTTTAACAAAAATGTCTGTCCATGTGTCATTTAGAGATGAATAGCAGAATGTCTCTATGGAAACTGTATGGATATAGTGCATCTAAGAGAAATAATGTTCCATATCATAATCACAGAGGTGGTCTGCGGAAAAAAAAAATTCCAAAGGCAGTCAACTATATGGGTTGCATTTTATTCAGAAAAAAAGCCATGGGAAAAATGTTAACCTTTTCCATTGAAGTGCCTGCACATAGAAAGCAAGAGCACACACATTAAGGAGCCTACTCTGTAGCCACATCCTTTCAGGTGCCCAGAGATAAAGAGAAGTCAAGATGCAGGACCTTGTGACTGGTGGGCATTGGCACACTCCATCTGTGTCTGCAAATTGGCCAGAGACCTCCTGCTAGGAGCAGTGCAGGCCACCAGCTGCTTCAGATTCTGCAGCTTGTCCAGCACCAGCAGAAAACCTCTTCAAAAACAGGTGGAGGTGGGTTTCAAAGTTAAACAAAACAAAACAAAACAGAAAAAAAAATAAAAGAAAAAAAGGAAGAAAATAATTGCAAATAGTTAATCCAGCTATTCATTCACATTTGAAAAATATACCTAGGTCTGTGAGGGACTAGAAAATACTTCTTTAATTCTCCTCTTCCATTCATTGCTATTTTCCTATATTAGTTTTTATATGCTTGTATTCCTAACCTTAGGAAGATAAAACACTGACCATGAAATATGGGTATGTGAAGAAATTACATGAAAAGCTGAATTTAATGAATGCAGATGGCAATATCACAGTTATAATTTAGAGCAAGGAACAAATACAAAATCTGACAGATATTACAGGCTAGCTCTAGGTAGCAAACTGAAATAATGTAGGCCAGAATTTGGTCAGACAACAACTGCTGTTCTGAAAATTTGTCTTAAATATTTTATTACCACTGAGGAAATATTGTTTCAGCTTAGTAGTACCATTTAGTGCTTTGCTGTAGCTTTGGGTTAGAATGATTCCAGAGAGAAGAATAGTACCACCTGAACAAAACCCATTTTCTTTGTTTCTTGTGAAACACAATGAAATGTTTTTTTTTCCCAGACAACTCCATACTCATTTCAGCTTTCCTTTTTTTATGGTGTCTGCTAGGGCACTGGAGCTGTACACCACAGGGGCTGAAACAAACAAAAAAAATGTCACTTGATATTTTGCCTTTTAAGAATCCAAAATTAGAGGCAAACATCTGTTAAACTAACAAGATACTGTATTTTATCTAGTTGATTTTCTACCACCATCCATTCCAAAGAACGGACCAGTACCTGAGTTCTCTCTTCTGAACATAAGAAATAAAGGAAATACAATTGCTATTATTCCATTTAGAAAGCCTCAAAAAAACCCAGCAGTCAACCCTGTACATCAGTATGTATACCACATTATGACTTCAAGGCTACAAAATGAAATGAGAAGTGAAGAGTGACTCTCCATATCCTTTTGTAATTTCCTCCAGATAATATTTAAAGAGTAGCTGTAAAAAGATTACTTAAATTACAGAGAATTTCAGAGAATTGTTATAGCAGAGGAGCACTGTCAGTAACTGGAATGTACAGTGCTTTGGTGTTGCTTGGTTCTAATAGACAGGTGCTGTGTAATGCAGGAACTGGGTGTTTGAAAACAACTGTTGCAGTGTGATGCATTTCCAACTCAAACAACTTGCCTGGAGCTTTTGGAATAAATTCTCTTTGTTTGAGATATGTCCCACCAGTCAAATTTGAAGAAAAGAGAGAACTGAAGTGGATGAAGAGATTTCTTACAATCCCAATTCCTCCAAAAACTCAGATTTGGAAAAAATCCAGGTGACAGGAAGGCTGTTTTACTGCTAATGGGCACCGATACTGAAGTTTTAACTTGACAGTACATATTTAGAAAAAAAGTAAGGATAAGTGATGGCTTGTGGAAAAAAATACATTCACAAAGTTTTATAAATTCATATTGGACCAATAGGAAACATAAACTAACTTCTTAAATGTCTATTCTCCTTTAGTAGTAGCTATGGAGAATAGAATATCTCCATTCCTTCAATTACAGTGAACATACACATTTTCTTTATTTTTTTTTATAAATATTTTTTTATTTTATACTTAGACTACAAAAGGAGTCAGATGTCAGAGGTTTGCCCTTAACTTCTGTCTGCCTCAACTTTTCCAGTTGTACAGGGACTATGCTATGCCTCGCTCCAGAAAGCGCAAATAGGAGACACTTCTGAGCTATTTAATAGCAGATTAATAACATTTTAAAAGTGCTTTTTCACTTCTCATCACAACAATATATGATTCTCAAAAGTTCTAAAATCCAGGGAGTGGGTGGTTTTTCAAACTCAAAAAACCCCCAAAAAACTAAATGCAGTAAAGGGAATTTCTTTAGTACATTTGCATGCAGTGCACTAGAGGGCTCTCAGGAGTTAGAAATAGATGGAATGCATTTTTGAAAGGCACGTACTTCACAGGACTTCATTACAGAATTTAAAATAGAAGTTGCTGTGGTTTTGTGTGTGGGATTGTTTGGTTTGGGTTTTTTTTAATGACATGAGGTTCATGTAAGTTTATAGCAGTTCATATGCAACTACCTCTCAGTAAAGTTAGCTTCTGAACAGTTCTTAGCTTGCAATGAAATACCTAAATGTGAACTATACTTGAAAGTGAAATATGTTCTAGATGCCAGTTTTACTCAGTTTCTTTTATTAACCTAAGGAGTTTACCAGAACAAAGGATGTGTCAAGCTGAATAGGTAAGAAATTTTATTTTTATAGCAATCTATATACAATGTGCACTTATTCTTTGTTTCTTGGAAATGATCTATAAGCCACTGTAATTTTATTTTAAAAAACCATAGCTAGATTATTTTTATTCTTTTATAGCTAGATTCTTCACAAGAGTGAAGAGGATTAACCATCTTTCAATTTTAATGTATGTTTATGAATTATGGGAACTATATTAATATTCAACTAGAGAAATTTGGCACTGCTAATATATTTTTATATTAGTGAATATGTGCAAATTTAACTACTAGTCACTGGTTCATATTTGGATCATTTACAGCATTTCTGTAACATGAGGTTTAGTGAAGACTTTGTCTTGTAAAAAAAAAGATAATAATCTGGATTTGACAAGCATTTCTTCTAATGCTGGAATATATCCAGCTAACATTGAAAATTGAACCCTTATTTAATGGTTTTGGTGTTTGATTTATACTGTAATGAGAAAGTAAAAGATTTATCCTGACAAATTCCTACATGCATACTGTCTCATCTAGAACTTCTTTTCTCTGAAAGATATAGAACCACAGATGCTATGTGTGAGTAATGAAAGGAAATGCTACTATTTTCTTTTTGCAGTTTGCAGAGAAGATGCATAGATCTTTTACACTACAAGTCAGTAAACTTTGCTTACGCAGCTGGCTCCATTCATTCTCTGAAGCCAATCATTTCCTCTGTGGTGGCTGATAAGAATTTAACAGTTTGAGAAGGTGGAGTGTCAGCATCCTTAGTGCAGACCAC